ACACACACACACACACATTCCCCATGCTACACAAACATATATTATATTAGAGCTGAAATTAATGCTCAAGTAATGGAATAGATAAAGAAAATATAAACTATTTCTATAATTGATTCATTGTTCAAGCCAAAGTAGCAAACAGAACCAAGCTCCAGTTTCTAAAATGTGATGATTTGCTGTTCCTTTTTTCATTTTTGTCTTGTGTGGCAGCAAATTTCTTTTTGGTTTTGGATTGACAAAACAATACACCTAAGGACATCAACTTTGGCTTCAGGATTGTTTTTTTTTTTACTATTTGTTGACACATACCTTCAAAAACAATTGATCAAGTAAATGAATCAATAATAAACATCATTTGTTGCAGCATATAACCCCATCCCCTGCAGTGTCGGCCTTACAGGTCTTTGACTTCCAGCATGGCCTCCTGTTTGGTGAGATGCACTGTTTGCAGGTCTCTGCGGTGCACAGCGAAGTAGCGCCTCCTCTGGAGCTCATCTTCTGAGGCTCTGCCCACACACCTGTCCTGCAGGTAACCCAGGGCAGCAGGCACACACATAGCCACCACACCCACTGTGAACCAACCCACTGACACCAGAGAAGCAGACACAACAGCAAGTTAATAAATTATTCATGTGTCTTTTAAAACACCAAACAAAAGCTGAATCGATATGAATGCCTAATGCCTGATCTTACCTTCATTAACAGTGCAGAAAAACACATTGAGCAATACACAGACGAGCAGAGAGCACACGGGCATCCTCCATCTGAGGGATGAAATAAGGAGACTGAATATCAGTACTCAAATATAAATATGGCTTTCTGCCATTACTACTTAAGGATGAATGCAATTATATGACCTGATACTCAAACAGGCCACAGACAAACACACATACACACCCGAGCAGGAAGCGCGTCAGCTCCACCGCATCTGTAACTGGCTCCAGAAACAGAGCCATTCTCTTGTAGGACACAACCATGTTGAAGAGGTCAAAGTTTGGTGTGCAGCGCGGGCTCCCCAACTCAGAAGCATCTGGGGACCCGGGGGTCTCTTTAGAGTGTACCAGCCCGCCCCCTTCCCCTGCACCCTGTGAGGAGTCCTGGGACATGCCGGGAATCGTCATTCCTGCGCAGAGGGAGGAAAAGAAAGCGGGCAGGATTCAGAGGGTGAAAAGGGTGAAACTGTCTGTACAGCAGGTGGAGAGCAGTTCCAGACCTCTCAATCACACAGTCTATTATCACACGGAAATCTTTAACTGAATCACTAAAGAGCAACTTACCACACTCTTGCTGCAATAATGATAAAGTGTCAGTGGTCTACGGCTCGTTATATAGCGGCAAGGGGGGGGGGCCTGTTTAAGTGTGAGTGCAAGCATGTATGTTAAGTGTGTTTATCAGTCTGTGTTGTTTATGATTCTGTTGATGCACATTGTATTTTCCTTATGTGCTGCAAAAAGCCAACAGTTTGTGCACACAACACACAACATGTGCCTGTGTGTGTCAAATTGAAATGAAGTGGAAACACAAACCAGCACAGTGCTGACCAGGTTGTGGACCACACCCAGCAGAGGTACTTCCAACCAGAGAGGGCACGTACTGTCTGCAGCCTTAGTTACTCTCATTTTCAGCAGTCGCTAATATCCAATAAAAACTACTCTCAGCATTGTACAGTGTCCGGCTTTTTACCAGTATATTCATCATAACCATGCTTCCTACCTGATGCATAATTAATGAAGAATTGTGAACTCGTTTTGCAAGATTTATAGGAAAGCCTGCAGCACTGTTTCGAGTCGATTATGTGACAATACAATCAGCACTGTGGAGGGTTTAAGTGTATTTGAACCTCTACTCCATTAAAAGTCATCTTTACAACTCTGTATTTCTGACAGCACCACTGAATTAGCAAGGAAATGAATATTAGGGCCAAGGTGAGCTTTTCATGAACCTAATATTGTTTTCGAAAGAGCAAGCTACTTCAACTGTAACTACTTTATCCTGATCACTCACTCTAACCTGCCCCAGTATTCCCAGTCAAATGAAGCAGCGCCTCTTTAAATCAGCGCTAAGTGCTGTGGCCATGCGATGCTGTCAAACAGGAAAGTTAACTTAGCTTGCTAACAGAAGGACACAATACACACAGTGTTTCTACTTGAGCCCAGCTGGTACTACCTACAGGGTGTGAAAGAGATGAGTTACCCCGAGCTGAGCGTCCAACAACAGCCAACTTGTGAAGCAGCGGCGGCGGCGGAGCTTATGCGACACTAGCGAGTCCCACCGACATCATCAGCCCGGAGGAAGAGAGAGCCTCCAAAAGCACCGGCCCGGTCAACATGACGCGGGCCGGTCAACATGACAGCGGCCCGGCCTCCAGCGTGAGCAGTACGCTGTCGAACCGAGGCGCTTTATCAGACTGTCAGACCGTCTGCGGAGCAAACCGAAGGGTAAAGCGGCTGTTTAGTCTGCGGACGGATGCTCGTCCCCGATAGCTTTGTTAGCTCCGTGTTGTTCTGAGGACGTCCGCTTCCTCTTCTAATCCAGGACGGATAGTTGATAACAGAGAGGGAGCCGATGTCCGATACAATCGATCACAGATGTTCGGCTCCGGAGTTGAACCTCGTGAGTTTACCTGGTGTAGACTTGAAAAAATATATGTTTTTGTAAACTCATTTTAGTGTGTAGGAGGTAAATGTAGATTCAAATGCTTTATGTACTAAATGTGCTTCTACAATTAAATAGTTTTAATTTGAGGACATCTTTTAAGACATATAAAAACCTGTTTTTAGTAACAACTTTGTGTCTGCTATGATGATCAATAACCTTATTTAAAATACATTTAGGCTCCATCTCCCTCACTAAAAAATTCAGAATCTATAAATGTGCTAATATTTTTTATTTTAAAAGTTTAACTATAGGCATAAAATGTCTCCTGCTCCAGTATATGGAAGTTTTTTTCACGTCAAGTTGCATTAAGTTGCTATACTGGACCACGACTGGCTTTCAAACTAGCTGTGATGTCCCAGAATCTGTACAAGCTCAGATTTAAGGTGAGCACAGAGAAACTTAACCTCTTCAGCAGATGGATGTGAAAAGAGCTTCCTAGTGTCTGCACATACATCTTTCTGCACAGTGAAGGTCAAACATCCAACTGAAGTAACACTGAGAAACACATATTTGTGTGGAGGGGGACTTTAGTAATAACCTTGTAATGTAATGTAATATCATAACACTTCAACAGCACGTTGTGATTAAAGGAGAGACACACATTCTCACACAGCAATAGCTCATTCTCGCTGACAGTTTTGATATACAGTTTACAAGTGAGAAGTGAGAGTCGTCTACTTACTGAGAGGGACCCTTTACTGAGTGAAAATAACAAATGGAAGAAATGTATGTATGAAAGCTGATCACAGGTCAGGTCTCAGTCAGTGTTCTGCAGCAGCTCGTGGACATTTGCTGACTGCTGTGCTCTCTCTGCAGGAATTTGGAGCTTTGTTTTCACACGAGGAAAGGAGTAACAAAGAGAGGGAACAGAAAACTAATATTATGATAACAAAACAGGGAATAAAGAAGTATTATGGATTGAGATAGATAGGAGTTGCCAGAAGTAAACACACAAACAGCAGCCACTCAATTGCAGAATCTTTGATGACCTGTATTGTACTGTGAAGTTCACAAGCCTTAAACACAGTACACAGTGGGAAATGTAGCCATTTAAAAAGGCACACACACACACACACACACACAGCCTCTATGTCCTTATTAACGTATCCCATCAAACTACTGAGTCGACAAACAGGTAGGGTGTAGTGGGACGAGACTGTCTCTTGGGACACTGGAATTAGTTAATTAAGCCTTAATGAGACTGTTTAGCAGCTGCAGCAAGTTTTTATAACAACTCCATCATACAGCAGCAATGGGACCTTTTAACACATGAGAAGATGTGATGTGTCTGAATTCACACTGTAGCATGTGTGCACACTGTGTGTGTGTGTGTGTGTGTGTGTGTGTGTGTGTGAGAGAGAGAGAAATAATCCATTTTACATATTATTATTCTGCTCTCCAAAGTCTTTACAGTATATTTAAGCAGTTATTGTGTGGATGGGTAAAAGTAGCAGATTTCAGGAACCACTGTTAGTGACTGGCTTATGTAGTAATGGATGATCTTTGTCGCCCCCTACTGGCAATCTAAAGGCCTCCAAGTCATCTTTCCTCCTCTGATCTCAAACCTGCCTACTGCTTGGCTCTGAGCTCAGGTGGACTGGGACTCTGGAGAAGCTGTTGTTGATCTGGACCTGGATGCATCTTCTGGTATCACTGACTCTACCTGAGTAAATGTGGGTTGTTACTTTCCACTCCTGAAGTCATTAGTTAGGTTTCCATAGTCCTATGTATACTGGTGCAGTGCAACAAAGCTGACACACTTTGTCCACTTCCTGAGTACTTTTTATTTATTCAATTATATAAATAAGATGCATATTTAATTATATTATGCACACAAACAAATAGTTACCAAAACAAGATTACCATGAATAAGAACCACAAACTGATTTTCTTTCTTCTTTTTAAAAAAAAAAAAAAAAAAAAATGTTTTGGGGCTTTTTTGCCTTTAAAACATAGGGCAGCTGAAGATACTCAGAAAAGGGAGAGAGAGGATGACACGTAGCAAAGGGCTTCAGGTCAGACTCAAACCCTTGGCCGCTGCAGCAAGGACTCAGCCTCGGTACACGGGTCGCCAGCTCTGCCAGGTGAGCCCAACAAACTGATTTTCTTCAATAACCATCATTAAAAAGAGAAAAGTGGCACTTGGAGATACACTGACAATTTCCACACATTTCATATAGTGAAAGTACTACTGAGCCATCATACACAGTACAAAATGGTTGACGTACTGATCACACAGCCACAGTATCTATACTTTCTACTTGGTCTATTGTAGACACTGATTTAGAGAACATCAACACTGAAATAAAACGAATTGTGTCAGTATAATTTATGGTTTGACCTCAATTCAATACACTTAGACTGTTCCTATAACTTGTTGAGATGCTGCTTTCTGGGTGACAGCTCTTAAAAACAATACCTGTGATCTCAAAGGAAAGACCTGGTACAAAGAGGTGAAACAGTACAGACAGGACAGACCCTGCTATGTCTGTAACTGTTATCCAAAAGACAAACTGTTTCTAGCACGGCTCTTGAGGTCCTCACAGGCTGTCTATCAGCTGCACATACAGTAATGGATATATCACGTTTGTCCAGACAATTTGTTTGTAAAGTCCACACGACGCCTAGCTTGCTGGATTCTGTGGCAATGTTTTGAATACGACTATGGTTATAAATTTCTTTCTTTTTTCTTTTTTTTGTTTGACACTCATGGTAATCCACCATGCCTAAAAATAAGACGAAAATGAAGAGGTGGATTCACAAATCAAAAACAACTGTGATTTGGAATCCTTGAAAAAGCACCTTTTATCTTTATTATCTTACTTTTTTGCTTGTTCTTTCTGGCCTTTGTTCTTTTCTATACGTTTTAATTATTGTTGTTTTAATATTCATAAAAAGTTGATCCACCAGATAAGACGTTGTGTTCCTCTCACTGTGGTGCCCTCTAAATATCGGTGGTGTCTTCCCTTCCTCCTCCCGTTTGTCTCAGTTGTTGGAAGTTTGTGGTATAAGAATACCGTCACCCTCCTTCTTTTTCCGCTGACTCAACTTTTTTGTAATTACCAAACAATTAACACTACTCTAAAAGTTGAAGCGAAAAGCTTTTCGGTAATTCAACGCAGGCCAGGGAAAGGCACACAGCAAAAAGTAAGAGGTAAAATAAGAAGTGTGTGATTTTTCATTGGAAGATGTAGCAAATACAGTTGTTTTTGATGTCGTAATTCACCTTCTATTTCTGGTTTTTCTTTTTAAGGCTGGTGGTTTTACCCATTTGAAGGTGGGTAACGGAATAAAACATAGAGTTGGAAGAGAAATTTATGGGACATTAGTCGTATTTCAAAACATTTGGGGCCACAGAATCAGCAGGTAGGCGATTAATAATATATTCGGTTGGCATACATTAATTTGTGCAAAGTAGAAAAGCTGCCAGGTATAGGTTTAGCATTGACCAGTGCCTATACGAGAGGGAAAGTGAGGATAGACTTTTTAATCGGGGTGATGATTTGAATTGTAGCGGTTCATATTTATTCAGTGAGGCAGTCATTCCCGAGTATTTTCAGAAAGCTAGCACCAATATTGATATGTTTGTTTTCTGAAAGTCTACGGAGATAGACCCAATCTTCTATTCGGGGGTGAATATATGCGAGTTTTTTCTGGGGGATTTGAACCCATACGTATGGATAGTCTAGTTGAACATTTATGTTAGAAAACGGTTGTTCGGTCTTGCTTAGTGGCTCTTAACTTTGATGGGCTTGTAGGAGCGCGAATCAGCAGACTTGACACGTTGAAAGCTCAGTTGACGGACGTTGGGATTCTTTCCATCAAAGGTTACCGCATCTATTCATCCTATGACCACGACCTAAGTGTGTCGCAGAACTTAATGGAAACTGCTTTCTTAGATAAATTTATAACTTTTAAGACGGCTGGTAAGACGTTAGATGAGTTCTGATGTGATTGTTCGAGAAGAGGTCCTCGCAGAGAATAAGGAGCAGAAAATTTTCTTTGTTCTTACCTGCGTATTATTTACTTGTTTTAATCGGTGGGGTGATCTCGGGTTTCTGAATCGCCTCTTTAAACTAGCAATCATTTGTGATCCCCGTCCTTTATTTTAGCATCACTTTTGTTTCAATCCATTCTCTTTCTCTCTTTTTTAATTTACACTAACACTGCCGTATGGTGACGATATAATGGTAGTATGCGATTTGATGAGTCTGACTGTTTACCCTCCCTTGTCCTGTCATTTGGTAGGGTGCCTCGCTCTCTCTTCTCAGTGTTCATAGATACCATGTAGCTACTTAGAACGAGAGCATGCTTCCGCTTGATCCCAAGGTAGGGCTGACGGGGTGACATTTCATTAGATACAGTTTAACGTCTTCCTACTTAGGCAATACTGGGGCATCTCCACGCCGGTTTTCTTGGGTATTAAAAAAATTAGGGCATTTTTTTATATGTGTGGACTATCATCGCTATCGGACCTCACAAGGGGCAACTGGGTTTCCTTTCTTTACGGTTGTAAGGCTGTCGCGATACTGTAGCTTCATGGCGCGTGTGGTCATACTTCAAGAGGGATATGGTTGTAGGCTGATAGCTTCTGGACCAGACTTGATGAGATTGATAAACAATAGGTCTTTTGGTTTCTAAACTCGATAAAGGACATTTTTACTGAATCGCTTTTAAAACAAAAACCCACAGATTTTTCTTCTGTTATCTCATGGCCTCGAACAATTCAAATCAAATTCTGTGAGGCAAGACAAATCTTTGGTTCCCAGAAGCTTGAAGTCCCATTTTTACTTTACGTGGGACACTGAAGTCTCTATTTGATAATGAACTTTGAGAATTGACTTTGTAGCTTGGTGTGCATTTTGTTAAATGATAAAACACTCAGTACTTTTTCTTCCCAAGCCTTAAATGGTAATTTTTCACTTCCCGCTGGAATTACTTAGTTGATCAGATTTTGTCTGTGTTTTGTATCATTTTAATTAAATCTTTTGGGTTTGTGACTGGTACCGAAATAACATGTGTTAAATTCCAGTTTGAAGGCATCACATTTTGTGACTAGATGATGAAATATCATTAGGCGGACTTTTGTTCACTCCAACTTTAACACAAAGAGGTTAAAGGTCAGGGAGTCAAGCACCTCTGGAGCTTGGTGGGATTTACCAGTGTTTGGTTCTCCCAGGTTATTTCAGTACACTTATTAGGGCCTGGTTTTGCTGCAGTACAATTATTGGGTCTCCACTTTGCACTCTCTCTTTCTCCATTCCAAAGGCAATTAAATGTATTTGAAATGAATTTGGGGCATCCTTTCCTGATTTTAACTGCACATAGTTCTTTGAGAGTGAAATGTGAGCACCTCAGCACCAGCAGAATCGCTAATTGAACACAGAAACTTGTCAACTTTTGGGAAATGGGAAATAGATTATTGGTGTTTGTTCCCTCCAACTATTCCCGAGGCTAACTTGATTGCAAGTAAGTCATATCTAGTAGTTAAATAAATGTAAGGGACTTAGCTATAGCTCCAGCAGATGCATGGTATCCATTTGGTTTCTCTGTTTCTCAAAAAGGAGGAGTGTCTGTCACAGCCAAGCTCATATTGATTCTGAGTCTGGTTGATTGTTGCTCTTCATACTACAAGGGAGTTGGCCACCCGGCTGACCATATCGTCCAGAATGAAGGGACTTATTTCTTCTAATTTTCAGAGTGTCTTGTCTTTGACGTTCTTCACGTTTCTGTCTATTTTCCTCAACACGTCATTTGCGCTGCTTCTTTTTTCGCATCTTTCTTTTGGTTTATTGGATCCCAGAATTAACATTGTCATCACACAATTCCTCTTTATTTTCTTTTATTTGTGGCTTTTTTCATGAGGAATCTTTTTTCAGTTGTTGTTCAAATATTTTTGTGTCGGAGTTGTCCTGCTAGCGCCCTTGCATTATTTAAGGCACAACTAATTCTAGTTTGTGCGACAACTCCTGTTGTTTTTGTTTCAAAGCATCAGATGAAAGACTTTTTCTCCTTATGATTCTATTTATTTTTCTGTTTTGGCTTTCAGACCAGTGCTGTAATCACGGGAGGAACTGGAAGCTCTTTGTTTCGAAAAGCACACACACTTGCATGGAGAACACAGTTGGACCGTACATACTCGCACACTTACATATCAAGCCCTCCCAGGTGGAAGGCTGTGACTTTCCTATTTATTAACACCGTCGTGATGAGGAAGTGCAAGTTAAACATTTTTATTTCTGAGGCGGTGTGCTAACCTGCAGAGGGAGGTGTAGTGTCAGAAGTGTTCCTCCCTACTTTCTTTCGAACATCCCTCCCTGCGTCACGTGTGCCTCTGGTCAAACCAAGCATCATACGAGCAGCGGGGGCCAAACTCTTATATTGAACGAAGCTCCCAAAAGAGGATCTTCCTTGAAGAGTTACGTGCAGAGCGTTCCGCCTCCACATGTTTGTCATGTAACCCAAAACAAGGCTCCCAGAGCAGATCACCTTTTCGTATCATTTCTGAGATTTACATGGCCCCTACGATCAGCTTACAAACCCAAATATCTGGGAGAAGCTGTGATGTCACCACAATACTTCACCCACGTTCAATGCCCTTCTACACCCCAGCCATTGCCTACCAGCAGGCAAGGACAACACAAGGGTACGCTTTTGGTCTCAATCCTTACTTGGCCTGTGGCTTACACTTGTCCGAAGATGCTTTTTGTTGTTTGTGCGGGCCCTCATCTTTTTAAGGGTTCCCTTTCTCTCTCCCATTCTCTCTTGTCTCTTCTTCCTATTCCTCTATTCCCATCCGCTCTATCCTCCCCTTTTCACCCCTATTTTACTGGTATCGCTGCAGCTATAAGGTGTTATGTCTAAGTTCTCTGTGGGATTTGCGCGGTATGACTGATTCATTCGCCTCGATAAAAGGGCCTTTTCCGCGCTCTTATCATTCCAGAGCGGATGGTCCCACGAGAGCCAGAACTGTGAGGTTGGACTCGTGGGTGTGCTCTCGCCTCTCCCCTTCTCCCTCCTCTCTCCCCGCGCTTAAGACAATCCTCTCGCTCATTCCCATCCTTGCTCCTTGCATACGATGATGTTCATGCTTTTACTCATTGCTCCAGGCACTGTTGGGTACCATTGATCTCTCTTCCGTATCACTCCACACCTCTATATCTTCCCTCTTCTCCTCACCCCCCACTACACCTGCCCTAACTCCACTCCTGTTTCCTCCGGCGTCCCGGATTTCCCAGATTCTTTTTGACCGTCCTGAAAGGCGCCTGGGGGCTTTAGCGCATGTCGTTGGATGTTGTTTAACGCACACGGCTCTTCTGGTACTCTTGTTTGTATTTCCTCGGGATAAAAAAGATTTTGTAACGCCCATGAACACACCTTTCTTAAGCTCCAGGACGCTGCTATCCCATTTAATGTCCGCCTGATTGGATATCTTGGTTTAACATCGTCTTGTTTCTTATTTCCTTCTCCCCCCTTGTGATTGCAGTTTGCTATTTCTTTCTGGTTTTTCTGTCTGTTTGTTTCACAGCCCAGTTTGCGAGGTCGCGGCTTACTTTCTTCGTTAATCGCGCTATTGAATTGCTGAGTTACCAATCCTCACGCCTGACTAAATTGTACCGGTGGGCCGATTTGTTGGGTGGCTTTGGGAAGATCACAGGTAGGCGGTTCATCCTGTTGATCTAAGAGCTTTGAATAACCAGGAAGGAATAGGGCATCTCAATCGAAGTTATAGAACAGGTTA